GAAAGGTTCTGCCCTAGTTTCGACCAACAGAAGCCACCAGCTTTGCAACACCGATTATGTTTCTTTTTTAACTCCTCGGTGAACCTGTTATAACGTTATAAATTATATTTTTAACCATTAAAAGCAAGGCACTTTTGATATAAATCATGTTGGCGTAATTATTTTATAATTTTTCGTACGCGAATATTGTGTATAGTGAGTATATTTTGTTGAAACTCAAACATTTAAATATTGCCTTTATTTAATTTGGGGTTTACTTTTACATTCTTATGCTTCCTTTTCAATATTATAAATGAATTATACGAAAGTAATATGTTTAGTAAAGTTAAGTAGGCTTAAATAATGCAATGGTTCAAAGGTAGGAAAGCCGTGACAAATTACTTAGTGGTAGAAGGTTAATCTTATTAACTTGGTTGACAATCTCTGAAAGCGGTTTAGAATGGAATACTCCTTGTGAAATAGTTTATTCAAAGTCATTCTCACCCAGTAATAGGCTTAAACAGTTTTGTTGTAAACCAATAAATTACGTGTTTACTTTTTATCAAACATACATTAATCTATTTAGAAAAGCAATGGCTACATGGTTAGATTACATTACATGATGCAAAATAATTAAGTTTACAATTATTTTAGTTTCTCAATCAGCATCTTACACGGAATAATTAATTTCCATTTTGTCTGTTATCAATAGTGTAGACCTTACGTGATTCACCCTGTATATCAGGAATAAATAATAAATTTCCTTAGCTCACAGTTGAGTATAAATTTTAAGAAATCCATCCAAACAATGAAGAAAACAATTAATTGACCAAAAATGCCATTTCTAGCAAGACCTATATACAGATTCAAGTAAGCAGGCTCATTAAACTAGTTTCAACACCGCATGTCCAGAACCTAAGATATGAGGCAACCAATGTTTATTGGTTAATGACAACATCAGACATGAGATTGCCATGTCTCTGGACCGGAGAATAGGTATTCGTCTACTCGGGACAGGCACAGTGGTCGTGGTAAAGAGGTATCTTGTTTGCAACTCAGCAGTCGATACAGACATCATAGATATGGTGACATACGAGACTGACATACAAGAAAGAGAATATGTATTATAATACAGTATAGTTTTTGTAATCCAAACATTTGATAAATCAAAACTTTAGATAGATACAAGTGTTATAACGTCTTATAACACTAAAAAATAAAAGCTTGGGCTGTGGAGAATCTCTTGTTAATTTAAAGTTTTTCCTTGCACAGATACACTTAGTATATTATATAGATGGCAGACCAATTTGGACCGCGTAGTAATTCGAAGTTTCATCGACGGACGTTTCTATTATTCAAACCTTATAAATTGGTGGTGAATTTATAGATTTATTCCATAACATGCCACTATGCATCCTGTCAGTAACAGTAGCTTTGGTGCTTAGTTGGAGCAGTAATTTAATAATCTGGTTAACAGTTTTTGCTCACTGGGAAAGCCGCAAATCAGAGGTGTTTTTTTAAGTCATCAACTCATTACCTGTTACTTATTGGTAAAACAAAAAAGGTTTGCATGACTAATGATTTTTTCAATAAGTGGCTAATATTATACGGATATAAAACGACAAAATTGTTATTTTATCTTGTTCTTAGACAACTGCTTAACCCAAACGCTTCTCATTTTTCAACATGAAATTTCGATTTCTTTCCACCAAAGACGACGTTAGAGTTGCAGCCGCTTGAATAAGAAATCTTACAAAGGCAAAAAATGAATCATTTATACAAAAAAATAACACTTTATAAATCAAAATTGTTTCTATTTCTCCCAATAAATCTAACCTCTTGATAATTCTAAACTCTCCATAGTTCAAATTTATTTGCTGGACTCTCCAATTTCAAATTATGCAGAGTCTGTTATCTATTGTTGTACAACGTTTTGTAATTATGGAGTTAATATTTACACTCATAAACGAGTATCAGATTTTCCTCAGAAAAAAAACTTAAATTGCTAATGACATCAAATCACGAATGTCGTTGCTAAATCATTAATCAATTTGCATCTTCACAGAGATCAACTTTCATTGATCAAACTTCTATAATAATCTTTAACTCTTTAGTTTCTCTACGATTTTTATATCTCTTAACGATGGTTTATATCCAAACAACGCTTTACTAGGATATTGAAAACATTTGTTTCGCACAGTTAAGATTTTAAATCTTCTCTGATGTCTAAATCTGCCCACTTGGCACTTAAATGCTGAGAAGACATGAGCCAAGAGGGTCAATTACTTTGTCAAGTGCGACACCAAACGCAAGCTGAAATGCAATTTCATCAAAGTGGGACTTAGTACATTTACCTAAGTCTTGTATTTGGTTTCAAGTAAAACTAAAAAAGATTAAATGTAGCTAAAATTAATTATTTAAAACTATCACAATAATTCGAGTAAACAAAAAAATCACACAACACAAAAAAAACAAAAAAAAACATTTTCTCGTGATAGAAATATAATTTCTCATTTATCATCGGAATCCTGATTTCGCACTCGTCTATTTTTCTGAAATCTTTGATGAGGTAGGTCTACAAAAAAAATTATTGAAGTCTTATAATTGCTAAATTTGAGAAGTACAGCAAAAAGGTACGTCTGAATAATTTTCTCTAATGATTTGTTTAATTTGTTTTTGTATTCAGGGCAAAGGAAAACTTCCTATGGAATTCTTTATTAATATCGTAATCAGTCCGTAAAATTACATATTTCAATTTTACCGACTCGCAAAAAGAATATTTAAAATATTCAATATATCTTTTTATTCTAGCACTGTTCATATATAAAAATGTTATATTCAATTGTTGTTTATTAAATTATTAAACAGCTAAAAAAATTTGACAAAATACAAAATAAAACTACTTTCAAACAATAACTGCAACTAATCATAAGCATGTAAAGAAATGAAATTATGAAACATGTATTTGACTTCAAATGTGTAAACACTATACATTAGTGTATAATGACAATAAGGTCTGTAAACAATAAACTTCTGAAAAATTTACATTTGCCTCACTAAACAAATGACAGGAATACTGTTTAAACTATTATTGAGTAGATTATTGAAAATTACATTCGTTGTTTTATATTAATTTTATTTGTAAAGTATACGTTTAGATATTATTTGGAAATCAGAAAATTTTATATATTCATTTATAACATAAAATCGCCATGGTTTCAACCATTTATTAATTGACTTTCTTATAAAATATATGCTACCATAATTATATTGATATAGTTAGGAGTTCATATTAGCAAACATAATCTTAATTCTAAAACAAAATGTAAAATTAATGCATTATTGGCATACTTTGAAGTGTAATATATGTTAATTTAACTCAAATAAACAATTTATTAGAAATAGAAACGTTACATGGATTGTTTACAACAAATATTCTAAAATTAGGTCCTTGCAAGGCAAAGCTGGGACCGAGTCGCAACACTAAATTAATATTTCTGTGTAATCACAAATACTGACATTAATGTTACATTGAATTCTGACATTTCAAGAGATTCAAGAGATTTATTATACCATTCAGTAATAAATATAACAGGGACATTAATATTATTGCTATTGCATAATCAATATTATAGTTCTATTGAAGAAGTTAGTTATTATATGTGATATCAAGGTTACTGTACATAGTGTACATCCGAGAGACTATCGTGACGAACAACTTCTTACCTATAATGTCTAATAATAGGAAACAATCTTCAACTCCAAACTAAAATAGCACATTATTAAATTATTTAAAATTTTGAAAATCCGTAAAGTTATTCCTATGATAAATGTTGGTAAACGGTTTCCAAAGAAGTCCCCAATCTGATTACAAGGGCGAGGCGCGGCGCTTAGACAAGCACTTTACCCTTTGACGTTATTTATGCGATGTTATGAATTCAAACAGAAGCCTGTCTTCAAGAAAGCTTTTACCTGTCTGTTGTTATTATTAATGAACTTTAAATCGCCTCTCTTATAGATCTTTCAACAGCCCACAGTCAAAAGACTGATTATGGACTTCATCCTGAATAGTATAACTCTAACTCATAAGTCAGTTTAATTTGATTCCCCATGTGTCTGTTTCTTTGAGTGTTAAATTAGTGCTAACTAATGTTTTAAACTGGTTTCAAGTCTAGATATACTTTGTATCTGTATATATATCTGTAGATATACAATGTATACTTTGTAGATGTTTTTTTTAACCATAAAATAATAGTTATAATGGATAATATTTTTAAGTGGAGGGAGCTTTCCTCACCTGAAAGATCTGTATTGTTATTTTATTTTTACTTATAGCTTAAGATGGACCCCAAAATCCGGACAATCCCTATCATTACATAGGCAAATGGAAATTAAACAACTCTCCCCCGCTGCAAACCTGCAGGCTAGCAAACTTCCATTTAAAACTGGTTTGACTTTCACTAAAATATTCCATAAACATTGTTAGATTTTATTTCATATATAAATCAAATTAATTTTAATAAGTACTTATTTTACCTGCTTGCTACAGTAAGGTTATAAAGTTTGTTTCCACCTAAACGTCAATTAGTATGAAATAATTTAGATTTTCCAAACATGATCGAAATATGAGTATAACATGAGAATTTTAATTTAACTTTTTTTATTTACTTAGTCATCAGGAGTACGAACGCTTTCATGTACTAATTTATTCATTTTTCAAGCTCTCTAATATAGTTTGAAGAAACTGTTGTATTAAGTCTGTTCTTTTATCATGTGTTTAAATATGTTTGTTGTCAGATGTTTTTGTAAACATTAGTTTAGTTTGAAAATAGAGTTTGTTCAAGCAAGATGTGTGAATAATATTCTTGTATAAGAAATAGAACATGGTGGCAGCTTAGTGGATTTTTTATCGAACAAAGTCTAAAACCACGCATGATGTCAAGTAAGGGCAGAAAAAACGAAATACTCGTAGGCAAAGGTATGAGGACAATGAGGAGGATGCTCAAAGTGAATTCAACTACATGTCAGAAAGGGATTCTAGAAAGACTGAAGGTGAGTCACTAGGTTTTGCATTGGGACAGACAAACCGAGAAAATAATGCAGTAATGTGTACTCCTACTCCTATGATAAATCTGACGTTACCAACTCCAGATACCTTCTCTTTTACTCCGAATGAGTGGCATTCCTGGAGGAATCGCTTTCAAAGGTACAGACGGGGGTGCGGTCTAGATAGCACTTCCGACGCTCGGCAAATCGATGTACTTTTGTTTACAATGGGTAGTAGGAGTGAAGATATTTTCGATTCGTTTTCACCAAAACCGAATACTTATGACGAGGCTCTTCGGGCCTTTGATGCATACTTTGTGCCAAGACGAAATATCATTTATGAGAGAACAAAATTTCTGAGACACAAGCAAGGGAGTGATCCATCTGAAAAATTCATAACAGATTTGCATGGTCTTGCAAAAACGTGTGCATGGGGTGAACTGAACGATGAGATGGTGCTTCTGGTCCTCATTATTGGTATGAAAGATGAGGCTCTAAGTGATAGACTCCAGCTGGACTCTCAATTGACTCTGGAGAAGGCGATTAATACCTTGCGCCAACACGAGGAGCTAGAACGCCAAAAACGTGAGCTCGCCAATACTAATGTTTTTATGGTGAATCAAACGTCAATACAAGTCGGTAAAACAAATCTGTCTGAAAGAGCTGGTGAACAGAAATTCACCGAGGATGCTATGAGAAAAAAGTGCAGGAAATGTGGTTATAACTGGCACGGATCACTGGCCGAATGCCCTGCTAGGAAAGCCAAATGTGACAAATGTTCCGAGATTGGACATTTTTTTCGATGTTGTCCCTCCTGCGAAAAGTGGATGAGAAAAAACAAAAACGTTGTTAAGGAAATCGAACAGCAAGATTCAGACAGTGGTTATCAACAGGTTCCTGAGATTTTCATAGGGAATATAGACAGCAGTGACAAAGCCTGGGTCCAGGAGGTAAAAGCAAGCTGTGGAAACCAAGATTTAGGTCTTATAAAATTTAAACTTGACACAGCAGCTGATGTAACCATGATTCCAGTAGGAGTTCTTGGTGATTTTATTAAGACTCTGCCTCTAGGAAAGTGCAAATCCCCTGTGTTTAGCGCAAAGAAGAAAGAACGAATCAATATTTTGGGAACTTTAAGGCTAAAGCTTGAACATAAGGGTGTATCAGTTTATGATCTTGCGTATATTTCTGAGGAGATCACTGTTCCACTTCTTAGCAGACGTTCCTGTGAAGAGCTGAACCTGGTGAGGAGAATTTTTTCTGTAGATTCACATGATATTGACTGGGCTACTAAGTATCCTAATTTATTTCAAGGGCTGGGAAATATGAAGGGAGAGTACAAGATTGAAATGAAGGAGAATGCAGTTCCTTACGCTATATCCACCCCCAGGGTTGTACCAATACCTTTAAAAACCAAGGTGAAAGAGCAGTTAGACGATATGCTTGAGAAAGGAGTGATTGTTCCAGTTGAACGTTATCAATGTGTCAATGTGACTGATTGGTGCGCACCAATGGTAGTTTGCGCAAAAAAGGGAGGTGGGGTTAGGATCTGCGTAGACCTATCCAAACTCAACAACAGTGTGAAACGTCGGTTTTATCCTATCCCAAAGATCGAACTTTCATTGGCCGAGATCGCGGGAGCCAAGTACTTCAGCAAGATCGATGCGAATTCCGGGTTCTGGCAACTGAACCTTGCAGAGGAGTCACAAGATTACACAACATTTATCACCCCTTTTGGGAGGTATAAATTCCGTAAGTTACCTTTTGGAATTACGTCCGCTCCTGAAGAGTTTCAGCGCCGCATGTCAAAAGCTTTAGAAGGGGCAAAGAACTGTTTAGTGCACATTGACGACTGTCTGATATGGGGAAGAACGAAAGAAGAACACGACGAGTGTCTTAGGGCCGTTCTAGAGAGAGTGCAAGCTAATGGAATCACCTTGAATAAGCAGAAGTCGGAGTTCTGCAAGAAGACTGTGACATTTCTGGGGTTTGTGCTGTCTAAGGACGGAATCAAGCCTGATCCAAGCAAGGTACAAGCGATTGTGGACTTACCAGCTCCAAGAAACGTTAATGAAGTACAAAGATTCATGGGCATGATCACTTTTCTGGCAAAATTTATTCCGAACCGCAGTGAGATTTTGGAGCCAATTACGAGCTTGTTAAAGACTAAAAACGATTTCCTTTGGGGACCAACTCAAGAAAACGCTTTTGTCACAGTAAAACAGATTTTATCATCAGAGCCATGTTTGACTGTTAACGATCCGCAAAAACCCTCGATTCTTTCTTGCGATGCTTCAAAAAAAGGTCTTGGAGCGGTTTTACTTCAAGTTGAAGGAGAAAACAAGAAACCTGTGGCATATATATCTCGGACTCTAACGCCTGCTGAAGAAAACTATAGTAACATTGAGAGAGAAGCGCTTGCGTGCACATGGGCAAGTGACCGTTTGAAATGTTTCCTGATGGGTAAAATGTACACAATTGAGACCGACCACAAACCGCTTGTCTCAATTTTCAAAACACAAAATTTGGACGAGCTCTCACCGAGGCTACAGCGGTTCCGAATGCGTATGATGAGATACGATTATCGCATGACCTGGACCCCAGGAAAAGACCTTGCCATAGCAGATCTACTATCAAGAAGTCCTATTCCGGCTGACGAAGATGGCGAATTGACCGAAGAAGTGGAAGCCTTCGTCCACGAAATCAGTCTGATTAGTATAAACACTACAGATGAAAATGTGACAAAGGTACTTCACTCACAAATGAGAGATCCAATCTGTGCACAACTTAAGTTACAAATTTTAGACGAATGGCCTGTAAAATCAAGTTTACGTAATGAGATTCAAGAGTACTTTAATGTGAAAGACGAGTTAAGTTGTATTGATGGGCTATTGCTTCGAGGAACTCGGATGATAATACCTCAAGAACTACGAGCGGAAATGCTCGAGAGGCTTCACAGTGGACACTTGGGAATCACAAAAACGAGGAAACGTGCTTTGGGAACCATGTGGTGGCCTGGAATTTCTCAAGAAATAGAAAGGAAAATCAAATCGTGTCCAGTGTGTATTCAGAACTCAACTAATCACAGTGAACCATTGATTCCGAGAACTGTCCCGGATTACCCGTGGCAAAATGTGTCTGTTGACTTGTTCAAACACGAAGACAAGTGGTATATGGTTATCGTGGATCACTACTCAAGATACTTTGAAGTCGAGGAAATGCATCGAATGAGGGCTTCAGATGTGATTCGGGTTTGCAAAACCACATTTTCACGTTTTGGAATTCCTCAACGTGTTTATTCAGATAGTGGGACACAATTTCACCATATTGACTCAAGTGAATATAAATTGTTTGCAAAGGAGTGGGGGTTCTCCACATTCAGAAGTAGTCCCCACCACCATCAGGGAAATGGGGCAGCTGAAGCAGCTGTGAAAGTAGCAAAAGGGCTAATGAAGAAAAACAAGGATAAATTTGAACTTGCCCTACTTTCTTACCGGACCTCACCTCTTGAAACCGGCTTTTCCCCATCTGAACTTATGTTTGGAAGGAAATTAAGAGACAATCTTCCATCTACTTTGGTTGGAAATCCTGTGGAAAATAAGAATTTTCTTGAGAGGGAGAATACGTACCAGAATAAGTACAAGATACAATTTGATAAACGACATGGAGCGAGTGGTTTAAGTGAATTAGAAGTTGGAAGCATGGTATGGATCACAGATCTACGTCGACACGGTAAGGTAGTCAGGAAATTGAACGAACCACGTTCCTACCTTGTGGAAACTGACAAGAGAACTATTCGCCGAAACAGGAAGTTCTTAGTTCCTGTACCGTACTACGGAGGAGATGGAATTCTTTCAAACGTTCATCCATGGTCCTTAATCGTCCATGCAACTCACGTGATCGTCCAGGAGCTGGCACAGTAACCCGTTACGGAAGGTCCATTAAGAAACCGAGGCGGTACTGAGGTTCATAAAGATGTGGACATCTTGAAGCGGGATGTTGTATTAAGTCTGTTCTTTTATCATGTGTTTAAATATGTTTGTTGTCAGATGTTTTTGTAAACATTAGTTTAGTTTGAAAATAGAGTTTGTTCAAGCAAGATGTGTGAATAATATTCTTGTATAAGAAATAGAACAGAAACAAACACCAAAATCTTATGTTTTTTGTGGTTTGAAATTGGAAAGCTATCTTTCACCTAATAGGAATTCACTAAAAGAGCATAAATTGCATTTAATGTGTCATAAATTCAGTCCTCATGATCGAAGTAGTGAGTCAAATTACGAATCCAAGGTAGCGATATCGCCACCAATAAAAATTGTCGATGCTGTACATTCTTCTACGATTGCTTTGTTAGAGATTTTGGCGCTTGAGGCCCATGTAGAAATTTAAAAGACTGCTTTAAAAAGAAATTATATTGCCATGTGTTATTGGTGGGATTTGAACACTTTCCGCTAGTGTGGAAGTGGATTCTAGACCCAGTTGTTAGAATTTTCATTAGACTTTTAGTCATCCTTTTGTTCCATTGACACGTTTCTTGCCTAGCTACAGAAGGAGAGTAGTTTTTTTTTTTCGAGGTCAAAACTAATGAGATATGCACATTTTAGTATCGTGTTGATTCTTACCAAGGAGTAAATTCCACCCCCTTTTAATTCATTAAAACATCTATGAGTACAATTAGTTTCAAATATGCTTATTTTAAAAGTTAGAAATGAAGTTGAAATAAATAAATTAGTTGTTTTATTTATTTAAATAAAATTCTGTATTTTCAATCACAGATTATTTTAAAGTTACTTCTTATTTATTTCTTGAACATTTTCCATATTTTTATGCTTCTGAAAAGATTGCGAGAATTCTCAATAAACAATCAATAATTTTATGGTGTGTGGTTACAGTATGTTCAATTTGATGGAATATCTAACTGAGCTTTGGTACACGTCAAACATTTTAGGTTTTAAATTATCTACTCTAAAAAATATCCAACATGAGGAATATGTGTTCCTTGTGCTTAGAATTTCAGCATGGATCAGAAACTGGATAGTTTGCTAACCATCATTCAACGTTGGCTGATTGGTCCCTCGGGTATTTGGTTTGTGACAGTTTCAAATCGGACTGACAAAGCTCTTTACATTTAACCAAAGAATTGTTGAAATATATATTGATTGTTATAAAATACGATTCAGGGTTGGTTACACAATAATATACAAACTTTGGTTGTTATTAGTAAAATAGGTATATTTTACCCCACAGCTGCAGTCCTACATTTTGGAGTTATTTGTTTTCCCTCAAACTTTTACTTCAATTTTCTAATATGGAATTGGTAAGGTGTTTGGAAACCCATTTTTGCTTTCCGGGTACTAAAACTACCTTTTTGGGTGAACAAATAGTTTTTGTCACTGTCCCAAAACGTGGTATTTTAGGGGAAGCTCGAATGTGTAAAAAAAACCCACAATCAGGAAAATATCAATTCAAATCTCTTTAAGAGAACGACTTTTTCTAAATCTGAATTCACAGCCTCGTAGTACTGGGTAAACATACAGACCAATAGTTTTCTTGATCTTATTTGTATCAATAACAACTTTTAAAAATAAGGAGTCGCTTAATGTGGTTTCCAATTGTATTTTCCTTTTAGGGGCTATAAAAACTTGACATTACACCAAGCACAGTTTTTTCTCCACTAAGAAATAAATATTAAGTTTGACAAACATGACTGTGTCCCTTCCAATGGTAAAAAGAGTACCGCGGCACCTTCTTTTAATTAGCATGTAACAAAAGTAGCAATACAAAAACCAGGTCAAACCCCATATTAAGTTCATAAATACCTGTGACATATTAAGTTCATAAGCATTTGAGACTTTAGATAAACGTATTTACTACAATGTCAACAAAATAACTAGCTTTTTATCAGTTTACATTTATCTGTCTTCTAAATATATTAACATACAAACGGGTATACCATACAACTGCAAAATATTTTAGTTTATTTTCATGGGGTTGAGTACAGATGAATATAGTGCTCCTATATTTTTTCTAGTCTCGTAACCGTGGGAAATATGAGCTTCTTAGCAATAAGGATATTTCGGGGAATAAAGGACAAGCTTTTTGGTATATAAATTGAAAGAAATGAAACTATTATGTCATGAATCATCATTATGTATTGTTTTTAAATCAAGTTAATGCTTGGACACAAAAGAATATAGACAAAAATTTTTCAATACCCACAGGATTGACGTGCTACTTATATCAATAATTTAAAACAAAATCACAAATCAAGAAACAAGAAACTAATCAAGAATCTGAAGGATTCTAACATAATTATCGTTAGAGATAAGAAGTTGTGTGTGAGTTTCAGCAAAGTGTAATTATGTTATCAACAGTAAAGCAGCCAAGGCTTCCTATAAACGCTTTAATCTCTTTATCGGCTTTCGTTAATTACTCCACGAACGTTAATTTTAAGTTAACCCTTTGAACTTTAAAGATTATTTGGTGATTTAATTATGCATATTTATGGGTTTATTTCATATTATGGACAAAACCTCAATATCTCGTAAATAATATTTAGCAGACACAAATGCAGTAAGGATAGGCAAAAAGTAGCTCAAATTTGGCTGGGCATTTTATATATATGGCCACGAGATTTCCCATCAACTTATGGACACGAAATCCTAAAATCTTGTAAAATAGGTTTTCAGTAGACACATACGGTGATAGTAGGCAACAACTGCTAAATGTTTTGTGATACAATTCACAAAGAATCCACTCTTCCTATACCCTTCATCAAAGTTGTCTGCCGTGTATTTCAAGTGGGCCTCTGCCACCAAGCACACCGACTGGCAGCTAAAATCCTTATGAGTTTAATACCACAACTCCCAGAGACCACAACCTCAATCCACCTCAATCCACCTGATTCAACCAGATTCAAACCTCAATCTACGGTGATGGCTTCTGGCCAGAGAGATGATGCAATAAACCACTGATTAGTCTGCCTCACTAACATAACTTAAATAAATTTTGCTATTTCACTCAAAGTTTTATTTAATCTTGGAAATAGGTGGCTACATTTTAATACAAAACTTGGGGATCCTTGGTTCATTTCTCAAGTGGATGGAAGGCTATCTTACAAGTTGGCGCGTGAACATAAAACTGCCCTCTGATTAATTTATCCAAATATCAGGCAACCCCCAGGGCACTTTGTTAGAACCTTACTTCTTTATAATCCTCATTATTGATTTCGTGGAAGCTAGGGTGTGGAGGCCGTTTTCTTTACGGGTTATGTTAAGATATTTGTTTAAGTATCACGCTCTAAAGATGATCTCCGTCTAAAAGTCCGTTGTCCAAAATGTTATCAACATCTATGGTGCTGTCTGGTTTCATTGCAAGCACAACATTGTCAAAGCGAGCAACTAGGCAACACATCAAAATAAATATATAAATAGAACACGAACCACTACAAGGACATAACGATGAACGAACAATAGCACTATAATAATGGTAAGTGATCGGACCTGATGACGGCAGTAGACTGGACTAAGAGTAACCATCCTCCCCCTCTGTTATTTTCACTATCAGTAAGACAGTCAGTTGTTCTTCAGGAGATAAAAGTGTTGAGTTGAGAGTGAGATTTAAATGAAGTTTTGTATTGAGGATATTATGTGTTTGTTCTTTAACTATTTTGTAAATTTCATACTGTTAAAGCGTGTCCAGTTTGCTTCCTTTCCTACAATAGTATAATATTACCATACCACGATTGACATCACTCATAGAGTGATTCTTGTCACAAAAGTATTTGGGTGAAATCTGATTTTAGTTTAACAATTGTTGAAACATGCCAATGTTCTTTATGATGACGTGTTTCGAAAGCACGACCAGTTTAACCGATATTTTTGTTACATTCTTCGCAACTTATTCTAAAACCCCAGTTGTATTTATGCTCCCCAAGAGCATACATAGAAACAGTCTAATAAAGTACCAGATGCTATCTCTATCTGGTACTTTACTAGACAAAACATGCCTTGTCCAGGCCATATAACGAAAGTACAACGCCATGTGTGTAATATTCCTTCTTAAAGACGTTTGATATTTTGTGACTATTTCTACACACAGATACTTTATACTTGGATTTTCAGCCCTAACACTCTTTTAATTTTTTTGTTTAGTTGTTCATCGACACTAAAGTTTGAGATATTAGCTACTAAGCTAGCAACAAACTCACGATAGTAATATTCTTAACCGTGTATTTCACAATACATATAAACACACAAGTAAAGTTTTGTGAATTTCAATTCTAAAACTTCCATTAGATATTCTATAAAATATAGACTCATCAATTAACTTAAGAAATCTAACATAATTATCGTTACAGGTAAGAAGTTGTGTGTAAGTTTCAATTAAAAAATAATTATTATGTTATCAGCAGTAAAGCAGCCGAGATTTTCTATAAACACTTTATCTCTTTATCAGCTTTCATTAATTACTCAACGAACGTTAATTTTAAGTTGACTAAAGTATCCATTTTTATCCCTTTTCAAAGTTTAAAGAGTTAAATCAAATCAAATTACTCATTTTAGTTACAGTTACTGAAGCACATTTTCAAAATACATGCATTAGCTTTTGCCTGTGGGCCATTGGCGTATGCAGTTGCTGCGTTAATTGCTAATATGTTATCATTGAATCATTTCCACTCATCATTATAGAAAGAAATTAAAATTTATATTTTAGGTTGGGTACGAAAAGTCCATTAATCAGTACACGAATTTAGTAATGGAACTCAGAAGACAAATTACGAACTGTAGTGATGCAGGTATTTTGTTTGAAGACTAAGATTTTCAAGACAACAAGACATACCAGACCTTCCTGTAATGACAAATAAACTGAAGTGGGATGGAAGACCAAAAGGTTGTGATACAATGTTGTAGGCCTACTGAAG